CCCCCTGGTTGGTTTTCGGACCTGTTGAACCCATCCACAAATTTCTAATGTTTCAACTAGCTTGTTGTGTCGACCTGGTACCGGAGTCAAGCCCCATGTAATTTTTGGCAGATTAAAATCACCTCCGATGATTTTAAAAGTATGAGGTTGGTGCGAAGCAATGGAAAATATGTTTGTTAGTAATCTGTAAAACTTAGTATCCGCATGGGGTGGTCTATATATGCATCCCACCAGTGAATAATTTTGGGATCCACAGTTTACAGTAACCCAAGTGGAGTCGTCTATAGCATCAAGGGATTTATCCTCAAATTCGCACGCTTGAATGTCTGAACGGACATAGATAATTGTACCGCCTCCTATTCCCTAACATCCATCGGTTCTAAAGAAAACGTAGTTATCTACATTCAAGGAATGATCGGATATAGATGAATTACACCACGTTTCCGTAAGAAGTACAATGGTTTACAAGGAATAAAAGAGTTTTAAGATGAATAACTTTACTGGACAGGGAGCGGGCATTGAACGAAAGAATAAGAAACTCAGAGTCATCATAGTGAAGCAGGTTAGAGTATAAATCGCAATTGGTAGTTCCATGAATACTCATAGGACTAGCTAATGTAAGAGTTGTGTTGTGAGGGGAAATAGATTCAACCACTTTGTCATCATGTGAAATATGTTTACCGTTGCCGGCAGGAAAGCCGGCGGAATTACAAAAAAAGTTCTCTCATTGTTATCGGATGTAACATCTGATAAGGGCATACTGTACATATTGGGAGCCGGACCAAGAAGGCTATCAGGTCTATGGTTGTGACCAAGTGGCCAATTACAATTCGGATAACTATGTATACCTGACGCATGGGTAACGTGTTTAAGACGTTTATTTCCAAGGTTTGTGGTTGATTTCGGCTTCTTCATAAGTTGGAGAGGATTGTGTACTGGTAAACATACTTGCGATGGTTTGCGAGGTTCGAATATATCAACGTTAAGTGCGTGGTCAGTTATATGAATGTTATGATTAGTTTTCCTGTTATCCGTTGCACAGTTACTGTAACTGGGTGTTGCACTAACAGGGATTTGGATTGTGTTATCCCATTCTTCATCAGCACAACTACTTCGGGTCGAATCTAAGTCAACGTTTTTAAGAGGATGGACACCACCTACATTGGGATTACTTTCTTCTGGGTTTTGAACTTTACGAGATTCAGAAGAGTTTTTCGGTGGCGGAAAAGTTGTTAAGCTAGACGTCCTCTTAGAATCCGACTTAACTTTACAACAATTAGCATTATGATGCGTTTGAGAGTTTGACGCTGATGGTCTGTAGTTATTTCTTCCTGCTTTTCGCTGGCATGGTGTTTTATCCGGAAGAGTCTTAATATCCTTGAAAATCTGTTTTTGTCTCGATGAATTGGAGGAATTTAAAAATTCACTGGCGTCTACAGATGAGTTGAATTTGAACAAGATCGGTGAGTGCATACCAGGATGACTTCTTTTTAATTTTGTGCATACAGATGATACGTGTGTCATATTGCTGGCTCTAAGCAGACTAGATTTGATATTTTTAAGGACATGTGTATCCGGTATATTAAACACAATTGCATTGCTAGATCGTCTTATTCTTTCAAATACCTCTGATGCAACACGATCTAGGAAAATATTTATGTCATTCATTTGATCTGGAGTCTCTGTGAGGTTGAGGTTGATGAGATATTTAAGCGGGTTGAGAATGTTCATGTCTACTTGCAACTTCTTTATAGCATCCATATGGTTGCAGTTGCGACTATCATCACTGTTTACCATCAGAGTTTTCAACATGTCTGGAATGGAGACAACTGGTAAAAGCTTGTCTGCTTCCGGATGAACGGAGTGGCTCGTCTCGTTGAAACTGTTGGAAATCGTGTCAGTAGTGGTGTTAAATTGTGTCGTTTTCCTACGTTTGGCTGAACGCCTAGGAGCAGGGGTCTTCATTTTCTTTTGTGGCATGATAAGAAAGTGACGTATAGCAAGTGGATTGAACAGAATGTTGGAAATAGAAAGGGGTGAAAAAAATCAATTCCGGGGGCTCAAGTTAGTCTTAAAATCAAAATCTATGTTTTAACCAAGAGTGAATGTATCGTGTGGATTAGTGGTTTTAAAACACAAAAGATGACAATGGCAGGAAGATATTAGTGGAGATGAAGTATTTATGTCAGTGTCTGTGTGGAGGCAAAATAGAATATAAAGGAGCAAGTTGTATAAATTTTAACATATATGACACGAAAGATAGCCTTATATGGTAAAGTAATTTAGAAATGTCGATAATTAGTATCATCATTATGGGCATTCTGGTTTCCCTTTGTCGTTGGTTTGGTAATTGGTTGTTTTGCTCTGGGAACCTACAAAATTGAAGGTTTGTTTTGTAATTGTTATAATTATTGTTGTTAGAACGACATTTGGTCGATTACTTGTTAATCACGAATAAATTTGGTATCTGAATTGGAGTTTTGGTTCTGTTATCAATTTGGGTTCGTAATTTGCAAGTAGATCGATAGTCCGTACTTCAATAACTGGAATGAGCAAAACTTGGACGTAACAATACTACACCGTCGATAAGGACGAAACTAACAATAGTGTAGAATTATGGTCTACTATGATATTAGTACTGCTCTAATAATAGACCTAATCCTAAATTTGTAGATTTGTCATGATATAACTGCCTAATCTATAAGATCTTACGTGGAAGTCACACCATCGACTACACCAACTCACTTTATCGTATCAATTACCAACACATGATGTGGAACAAGGTTAGGCTAGAGAAAGAACAATATATTTAATATGAATAGAAGATATAAAGTAACATTGAGATGGACCACGCCTGCATGGACGAGCCATGCCATCCGATCAAACCCAGTCCATTCAATTCCTTCTCCGCGCCTTCTCCATTGTTAGGTATTTCCCCGAGTCAAATATTGAATATCTATTTTCTGAGTAGTCTCGTGTTCACAGCTTTGTGGATTGTGTGGCTATTGTCCAATGCCGCTACAATAGCACCAGCATCGATCGTCTCAAAGAGGCGTACTTAGAAGAAGAATCTAGTCATGTCGATCTCCCTCCAGTATAACGAAACGACACAAGCTCCACAGTTACAATACTCCATCCGATAATTAAAAGTTAATAGAAGCTTCTGTGTTGTTTGACAACCGGTCTAGAACAACGCGTTCAGACAAAAATGAAAGGTTTCCGGAACACTAAAACAAATACTGCACGTCGGACACAACATAACATTTTTTCCTCTCGTTATTACTATTTTGTGCTAAAAAACTAAAACCAACTTTTTTCGTTGATAATATGGTTTTACGTGCATATATTTTCCCGGAAATTCCCCAAAAATATAATTGGGCAATAATTTTTATACGCCATCGCATGATTTTACAAACCCTTTTTCCCTTTCCAGGAAGGCTGGTAAAGATGAGAATCAGATGATTAGGACTAAACGAAATTTTTATTGTACTTATTATTCATTGTTATATTGCATCACATGGCCCCTAATAGTAAGAAAAGATCACCAGACCCTGTTGAACACAGTGAGTCATCAGAAGAGTGTTTGCCAACGGGAAACGTGTTGGGTTTAAACTTCTTCGTGTCCACGTTTTTAAGTCGACACTACCCCACTGATAGTGGGAGTGATCTGTAGCGGTGAACAAATCTCCAAAACTAATAGCTCTGTAAGTCTTCAGCATTTGATACTAACCGCATTAGTTTTATTGGACTCACCTAGCTGAAGGCTCTTGGTCACTCATCCCCGAGTGGGTACGTCGTGCTATGCATTCATTGCAAACATTAGCTAGCCCAGATCAGAAACTTCTCGACATATCGATAGCTTTCCAAATACGTATTCAAATCCGTTCATTTCTGACTTTTGGTTTGACTGAGGTGACACTCTTCAATAGTAAGGGCGTTGACAAATTCCGAATACTTATTACATTTTTAGAACATTTCGTTTCTTCCGGTATTCAGGAATTTTCTGTACCTCTTTCTTTATCATTGTTGGAAAGTTATTGGACCATATAATCGAAATAAGAGCGTAACTGAGCTGTGTGTACCTATAAATTTTGACCATGCTTCGTCACTTAACGGTTCGGTACTAACTGATCTTCTTGCTTTTTCATTACATACCTTGAAGGCTTGGGTGCTTACCCCCAATGCATTTATAGTCTATTTATTCTGAGCGTAAATCACACCATAAGCTCTGAGGTTGAATAACCAACTGTTTGATTACTAGTGCATAATGGTGGGAAAGTATATAGGCAGGAAGTATCTTCGGTTTCATGAGTGACTAATAAATTTACCAACCAAAGTCCCCGGTTTGAAACAGCACGTCTGAGATCAGGCACACATCATACTAGAGCAAGCTCCATCAGTCAAGCAGATATTACTATAGAATGTATGATGATGGACATCTCTCGATTAATTGCACCATACCCATTTAAATATTTGAGTATCGAGGAGCGGTTGCTGTTACTTCATTGCCGAATTTGTTTGAAAGTGAACTTGTTAACTAAGCGCATCGAACTACGATAGACGACGTTAACTGAAAATGTACTACCTTCGAAAGTGGGGTCATAGGGTGATCTTATCCGCAACGCAACCAATGTAAACTTAATGTATCGCACACTGTCATTTGTGCGTTCAAGTAACCACAGATTTTGTCATTTCATAATGTATTTTTAATTAAATAACTAGATTATGTAGTTAATTTTGCTCTGTTTTAAATTTTTATTCGTCACGTCTGACTGCGTTACACTGTACGTCCATTGCACTGTGAGATGATATCTCAAGTCATAGTGAGTTTATTCACATAGTTGATTGTTTCCAGATAGACTGTCAGTGCATGATTTTACTGAAGAAAGGTTTGTTGTACTGTAAACTGTGTTTCTATGATCAACTCCCTGTTGTCTTCAATATGAATTCATACTGAATACTGCTTTAAAGCAGTATATATGTGTCCTTCTTTTTTTCTTAGGTAAGTTCAACTGGCCTTTATTTCGTGTTTTGGTTTTATCGGCTTAATTATGTCCATTTACCTACTTTGAGCAACATGTCTTTGCAAGTGAAACAATAACTATGCCGGGTCATAGATACGACCTCACGGGAACAGCATACATAAAACTTGCGAACAAAAAAGTATACATGTGCGTTACTAACAGCGCACAACACTTCCGCACCCTTTTTCGTAATCTTTTTTATCGCTTTTTGGCAAGTGTAAATCAGTAGTTGTGCAGAGACCTCAGAGTCAAGGTCTGATCAAATTTTAATAACAGTCTTGATCAGCGGTCTAAGACCATTCACTAACACTTACGGTCTATAAATTTTTTTAAAACTGTAAGCCACGGTGTATAAGACTTCTAAAGAGGATGATCTGGCACGGTAAAAATGATAAAATTCGAAATATCACAACTGTTTCCCTGATGCCAGAAACAGGTATTTTTACTAACCAGTGAACAGTGATCGGCTCCATTAAATAGAATTTAGATTTCAAAGAACTCATAGTCTGTTATTTCTCAAGAGTAAAGTTTGAGGCTTGAAGTTTGATAACTTTTAAAAGCGCTTTATTAGATATTTTCAAGGTCAAACATGAAATGGTGATTTTTGAGACGTAAGTTGTGATTTGCGTTGTCATTGGGAAGTCACTTTCCTCGGGAGTACCATGGCTTGCGATTTCTATTGGCTAAGTGTGTAAAGGTTGAGTGGTTCCTAAACATTTTCCGTAAGTTCATAAATCAATCATCGCACCAATTTTGGGAAAATATAGTCTTACGTCGTTGGTATTTCTGGGGGCTTGAGGCTCTCTTTATGTCTTTCAAGACTAGATTCTTCGTCATTATCTAATACCATTACTACAGAAAATTCCTCATACATGGCTGAAATAGTGACAACTTTAAGTTAACGTAAGGTACCATAGTTTTCACCCGAACGTTTCCCGGTACCTGTGTATATTTATACCATAGTTTTTTCCAAGGTCCGTTTAACTTCTAGTGACCTCCTTGCATAGGAGTTATTGATCAGTGACTTGGACCTAGTAACCTGGGTATTTAGGTCTTAACAAAGTTTTTAGTCAAAATCATGGGTCCAGATTGTCTGTTGATTAGACTTTGGCGAGCTCTATATTACCGAATGAGTTTCAGATATGATTTATGGATATCCGTTACGGCAAGACTAATTTGTGGACGAGCCAATCAGATCTATTTTAACAGGTTTTGAATCTTGGCGCAAAATTAATTTATGCAGTCTTCAGTCTTCAGTAATAAGGATAGGAGGTCTGTCGACCTATATTAATCCTTGCAGTTTGTAATACTGTGGAGGTCCAATCTCGTTTTGAATATATTAACAGACGGTGCTGATATTACGTGTTCCGGTAGGGAATTCCAGTAATTCACTACTCGGTGCGAGAAACGGAACTCCAGACGTAAACGGTTTGACCTCGGTTTTTGAACTTTCTTCGAATGTCCTCTCAAATGATCGGTTCTAGACGGAAGCAAAAGATAAGACATGTTAATACCAAGGTCATCGTTCAGTATACGATAAGCCAATATTAGATCACCCCGTACTCCACGGTAAGATAACGGAAATAAGTTAAGGTGTCTCAGTCTGTCTTCATAAGATAGGCCAGCTAGACCTTGTACCATCTTAGTAGCTCGTCGTTGGACTCTTTCTAGCATATCTGCTTCATATTTGAAACAAGGACTCGCTGCTTGAATCCCGTATTCTAAATGTGGTCGCACATAAATCGGGTATAGTAATCCAAACATTTCATCATCTAAATACTGGAAAGACCTACGAATTGACCATAATACCCTATAGCCTTTTGCAGCAGCAGCCTTACAGTGACTAGTCGTTTTGAGATCATTGCTTAATATAACTCCTAAGTCTTTATGGTTTCTTGCTTTGGGTAGCACGAATCCACGTAGTGTATAGTCATACGATTCATCAGAGTTATTTAACTGCATCACTACACTCTTATTAGGATTTACTTCTAGTGACCACCTGTCTAACCATGCCACCAATGAGCTAAGATCATCCTGTAATACTATTCTATCCGACATACTATGTATGGGTCTCCAAATCTTTATGTCATCAGCGAAGAGTAGAACGGATGATTTTGCTACAGTTGGCAATTCATTTACATAAAGTAAAAAGAGAAGAGGACCTAGGATTGTGCCTTGGGGAACCCCACTTTTTACAGGTACCCACGAGGAGAGAGCCCCATTAACCCTTACCCTTTGTCTCCTGTCATGGAGAAAGTTACTTATCCAATCGACGACTGTGTTATGGATTCCAAAACGTTTCAGTTTGAATTTAAGACCAGAGTGTGAAACCTTATCAAAGGCTTTACTTAGATCTATGAAAATTACATCCACACAAGCATTCCGATCCTTTGCCGCAGCCCACTCTTCTCGTGCAATGAGAAGATTTGTCAAGCAAGATAGGCCTTTCCGAAAACCATGTTGTGCCCTGGAGAAAAGATTTTGCCCTTCAACATAGTTTAGAACAGCTATCCGAATGATTTTCTCCATCAGTTTCACAACTGCACTAGTTAAGCTAACGGGTCTATAGTTACTAACTAAATCCCTACTCCCAGCCTTATACACCGGACTTATTATGGCGTCTTTCCAGTCTCTAGGAAGTCTGGACTGTCTCAGAGACATGTCGAATAGTATCGCTAATGGTTCAGCAATTTCATCTGATATGGCTTTCATAATCCTAGGATGAATATCATCGGGACCACTGGACTTATCAGGTGTGAGATGCTGAAGTAGCCTTAAAACAGTATCTTTCTCAATGGCTACAGGACCCATCAGCGAGCCGTCACGGTCACGATGAATCATTGGTCGTTCCTCACTACCGATAGGAAACACTTTACTAAAATATTCCGATAAAGCTTCAGCTTTTTCGGCATCATTCTCTGCTAAGATTAACGGATTGTCTCGTATCAAAAGTGATGGAATTCCATCGCTTCTCTTAGTTCGCCTTTTTATATCCGAGAATAACCGTTTCGGACTATATCTAGAATCCCTAATCAATTATTTTTCATATGATCGTCTAGTCTTACTTATTAAAGCTTTACAGGCATTCCTAATCTTACAATAACTGGATCTGTATTGTTCTAAGCCAGTAGAGATGAACATATTCCAGTGATTCTTCCTTTTTCTAAGGAGTTTCCTGACCGTTTTAGTTATCCATGGTGGACTATTATTCGGTCTTCGCGGTACCAGGTATGGTATGAAGGGGGACGTAACTAGTCTAAATTTACATTTAAATACAGACCATGCTTCTTCAACTGATATGCTAGTATCTACTAACCAATCTGTCTTAGCAGCGCATTCCTGAATGGCTGATATGTTAGCTTTCCATACATTTGGGCGCGGTGTAACCTGATCGTATAACATGTCCCTAGTTCTAAACGCGAATGACAAAACAGCGTGATCGCTGTTTACTAACGGTGGAAGAATATTTAAGTCGACAATATCCTCAGTCTCATGAGTGATTACCAAATCCAGCAGAGAACCCCGGTTAACACCAAAACGTGTGGGTTGGGATACATGCTGCATGCTCCATTATTGTTATCAGTAACCTACTATCAAAGGAGTTTATAGATCCTTCTGTGGTCATATCAGTCCAACTAATATCAGGTGCGTTAAAGTCTCCTATTATTAAGCACCTGGTATTATCACTCCAAAGATGAATGTGCTCTAAAACAGTCATCAGCTAAGCAGATTGGGCTCCGATAGATGACACCTAGCATAAATGTACTACATCCTATTGCCAACTTACAGCTAATGACTTCACAAGTGCCGCTATCATGGGATTCGCTAGTAGAGGAGGCTAAATAGAGTTTTGGTATCATAGCTGATGTCAGTTCGTGTTGAAAAACTTAAATCTAATTTGTGACCCTAACGATCGACCGTAGACATTAATCTTAATCCCTCACACTGGTTTATAAACCTGATTTGATCGTAGTATGTACGTGGATATTCTCAAGGTCTCTTTAGCGTCATTCAAAGGTCGTCCATAAATTATCGTCTCACCCCCGTTTCATTTGGTAGGTCGAATTAATATGTTATACGGCAGGTAAATTTGCTCAACATACGCTTGTAACACGTAGGTCAAAACCTTAATCATATATGTGGTCCACATTATATTTACATGACCGTGCCACCTATCAGTATGGTCACGTAAGATAGTTTGAATGTTGTATTTGCTGATGATCGTCAAGCAAGCATTGGTTTTCCAAGTGGTATTCGTTGTGGCTCTATCTGCTTGTAAATTCAGATTACTTTTAAACGCAAACTCATACTATGTATCATTTTATTTATTTAAACACAGACATTTGTACAAGGAGGCACCAAATAGATATGCGCCACACAATAACAATGAGGCCAGTAGCAGTTATCACAGATTTATGTGAGGGCTGTGATACCGCCCGGGTACCCAGACTGAAGCAGGTGGCTTTCCTAGGGGGTCACATCCCGAGCTTTCGACCTAAAGGTCTAATCCACAAGGCAGTAGAGCAACGTAGGGAGATGCAGTTTTATGGTAGCCGGTCACCAACAATAGGTTCATACACCTTTTGTTCCATCAGGATACTGGAGCCTATGTGCACCATTGGAATCAGGGTTTGCCAACTCCTCTAGGTGGACTCTCCGTATCCACCAACCCAGTTAAAGCATCTGACATTCGCTTTTCGTCCTCTCAATTTCATAAGCAACAGTAATTCTGCGAGAATGCAGTGAGTAGAACTTCCCTGGCAGTTGTCGTGTGCACGTGGCCATGTGAGAGCATTTCGAGATGGAGAGCTGACTCTCTCCACTTTCGTCCGTACTAGGGCATTTGGGGGCATATACGATGTACCAGGCCCCAGTACAATCACCTTAAAATTCTGGAAAACGTCTTAGCAATCAAAACTGCTATAGCGTTAAGTTTGAAGGCTAAATTGATACTTGTTGACTGTATTCCTATCAACAGTCGATTATATGCTGTCCGTTTCAGTGGTATAGTAAAAACTCGGAAACATAGGGATATATTTCATTGGCTACTCATCGTTTTTGCTTATGTTTGCATCAACTACAGCTTGGGCAAAGTAAAACGTTTGTTAGCTAGAAGCTTCATGATCTTCAAAAAGCCAGATGTTCAGATGTAGTAGTTTTGGCCGGCGGTTTTAACGCTGAAGTCAGTAAGTCAAGTCAAACAGAGAAACGGTGTTTGTCCGTCTCAATTTTACTCAAAGTCGTTTATCCATTGGAATTACAGACCTTGGACATAGAGTCGAACACTGTTTAACCTGAAGAACCCACACACAGGCATAACAGTGGGTAGAAATAGGTAATTTCATTACGGCCATCGTTGAAGAGGCTCTATAGAAGACTTCCATTTCTAAAGTACATGCTTGGGCTGTAATCATACCATAGTAACAGTACGCGTTTCTGTGCGTCTTAATGGATATGAGAAAGTTACAGCAGGAAGACTCGTTAGATATCACTTTGGAAATGAAAAGCTCTAAGACATATTTAGGGGAAAATTAGCTAAGCACATAGTCGGTCGTAGAGAAACGGTTTATTTTGAAGAAGCCTGGAGAGATACGGAATAAGCTGTAAATCCAATTGTAATATCAATCAGTAACTAAAATTAAATGGTTAGGAAAAATCGGTGGATTTTGGTAGCTTCCACTGAATTTATAGAGGCTTTCAAATCCCAACAGGCTTAGAGAACGATGAAGGACAACGACAATTCCAACTCAAACTAATAAAATGTTTACCCGATGATCGTGAACAGTAATGGGTAACTAAAGTGAGAGAAATGAAAAGGGAGCATCGATAGATAACGCTGAACGACTCTGTCAACTGATCAAGCAGGTAGATGTTAATGAAACCGTCTTGGGGTAAAACGGAATCATTATTCACTTCCAATTTAGTAGATAGGTGTACAGAAATATTTAGAGAATAATTCAGTTGGCTTCCAGTTACAATTCAGTTACCTTCTATTCCTAATAAATCTGAATGGCAAATTGACACATTTTTAACTGTTAATGAGTTGATAATCTTAAACGAGGGAAATCACAAAGTCCCAATAGGCTAACTTCGGAGATGTTCAAGTTCTAGTGGTGAAATTGTCTGAAGTGTCCGCTTAAGTATGGAAACTGGACATAGTCTCGTCTGATTGGTCTCGATCGGTGATCACTTCAGTCCATAAGGGAGGACCAAAGTCCTTTCGGCATAACCATTTTGAATGATAAAACTTCTAAAATATTGTCTTATTAATTATCATGGAGAACTAACCGGGGAAAACCAGGCTTCTGTAAGGTTTGGACGTAGATCTATGGACCGAATATCCACTTTTCATCAGGTATAAAACATAACCATACTGACGCCCAACTATTATGGTATTTATTCACCCTAAGATAGCATTTGAGTCTGTTGAACAAGAGGTCCTGTGGCGGTGTTTTCCGTAGGAAGACGTACCAAAAAAGTATATCAACCTTGTAACAGACTTTACTCAGCTGTTGGTCGAGTTAGAGCTTACGGTGAACTGTTATCACGACCGTCAGTCTTCAGTAACGTTCGTCGGGGCTGCCCACTCTCCCTATTTTTGTCCTATTTTATCGTCGATATCCTCCTAGAAAATTTCTTCAACTAACTTTTCGTTCTTCCGAGAAACTCGCTTATCGATTTACAATACGCGGGTAAAATAGTCCTATTTTGTGTTGCTACTCGTCTTGAGTAATATAGTCAACGTATTTGGGATGAACTTCTTTTCCTACCGAGTGTATAATTTACAGCCGTCATCTCTGTTCTATTTTGTGCCTTCGAAACAAGGTCCATGAAAGTAGAAGACTTGTGGATGCTCAAGATTCCCTATCATGAGTATCCTAAAAGCATTTCTCGCGTTTTGTGGAATGATTGAGTGATCAATTTCGAAGTTAGGTATGGGGTCCTTGACAAAGGTGAAAAGTTGGTTAATAGATTAGAGGATTTTCATCGATTAATGTGGTTAAGCCTATGTTGCGTATCCTTGACCACCGTCTACTTCAATGAGCGGTACATACTGACCCAAAAGTAGATTGGAAGAAAGCTGCGAAAAATCAAGTCAAGGTATGCCATTAGTTCATAAAGTCATTGACTGTTGGTTTGATGCAAAACTGTCTAGATGAGGTGTACACAATACTAGTGACCAGTAGTTGGAGACGTTAGGTGACATGTTTCAGGATCAGTCACGGTCTTAAATTCCGGTATTTCTTCATCCATACGTTCTCGTCCAGTCTTTTCAAACAGTATTACCAATGTTTATTTCTTATAATCATTGCTACTACATTATTTCCATCCTTTGTAATTTTTCTTTTTATCTTCATCTGGTCGTGCCGGTCAAATATGGTGATTTGGGCCTAGGCTTATATGTACTAGGTTCTTTGTTGATGATATTTTTCTGTTTATCAAATTTTTATAGCATCACAAGTCTTAGTTCAGATTTGACCATAACACAAGTCACACTTTTATTTTCTGTCAGATTTACTTGCGATTCTTCATCTAGACGTATCCTTCATTACTAATCTAGATTAGTTTATTAGTTGAGATTTGTTTTCAATAAACTGGCAGTCCTGTAAATACAAGCTGACTGTCTTTGAGGCCGAAAAGGATTTCACAAATCTTACTTCCGTTTATTTGACGAGTTTTGAATAGCTCCTTGGTGCCACGAGCTGCATACGATAAAGATTACTAGTCGTTTAGGACATGAACTTGGATGTGGTTGTGGAGTTATTAGCTTATAGTTTAAGGAAATTAGTAGATCAATTATCTGTTCTAAGGACATCCAAACAATGCATATTACTTGACATTCGATTATCTTTTCGTTTCTAGTACCAACTCTCTCAAACTATGGTTAGGTCTGAGAAATCATGCGAAATTCTATCGGGATAGTTCGCCTTTGTATAGTAAATTTTTAATTACTGACTGATCAATGTTCTTCATTTTACAGACTGGTCGTCAATCAACCACTTCTACTTTGTACACCTCTTCCTAGCGTCAAAAGCACTTGCTATGAAGACTTCGGATACATCATGTAAAATACGTGTTTAGGCTACTAAAGCTTTGTAAGACGGGTTGCTTGATAGTAAAGTAATTTCCACTAAAATCAAATACATTTTGGTAGAACTTATCATTCCTCAGATAGCTATGTTGTACACGGGATCATTTTGCACATAGACCAAGTTTGCCATTTCGGTCTGGGCACCCGGGCAGTATCACAGCCCACTCACAAATCAAGTGACTTGTGTGGCGCATATGTATTCGGTGCCCCTTTGTATCAATATTTGTGTTCAAATAAATAAATACCGCATCAATACCACTGGCACACACTGATATAAGTCTTTTTTATTCTACTGTACAATAATTGACATCGTTAATGGTACACTATCGTTCGACACTGACCACCAACTGATTAAATAAGATTTAGGTGGCGTATATATCGTGGGATCGCAAAGCAGTATCAGTAAATTCAATATGAAAAGTCTTCCATCAGGTGGTAGATCTCATTGTTCCTCACTATGTAATTGATTGGTCAAAAGGAAATGACGAAGTTCTACGTTGTTACTGACTGACTGACTGAAAGGAAATGACGATGTTGTACAGTCTTGAGTGATTTCACTGTTAATATGTAACAGTGAAACGGTAGTTCTATGCTCTCACTCTACCAGAGTTGTTTTTGTAAATAACTTTTAAAATGTAAATGGAATTCGCAGGGAAATATTTCTACTCTTGCCTAACAAATTAGACTTATCACTGATGTCAAAAATATAACTGTTTTCGGCCTGAAATAGGCGTGATGATGTTCAAACGTCTGGGAGCGGGCGAAGATGTGGCTAATGACTATAAAAAACTGAGCAACATTCAACCTAGTCCTCTGCAGTTTGTCTCTTACGTTTTCCTTCATTTGTGTGGGGATGAAAGGCAACTTAACTGGTAACAGACTTGTATAATGATGCAGTAGCGGTGGCTTATTGGTTAAGACGTTCGAATTCCAGTCATTAAGTCCAAGGTTCGGGCTCATATCCACTTGCATCAGTCTGGGTAGTCGAGTATTATAATCAGTCCACGCACTTATTATGTGACTCATACCTCAGTACCTCGTGAATAATTTGAAGTTAACTAAATGTTTACTGATGATTTTCACATCTTTTATGTTAGCTCTTGTAGTTAATGATAATAACTTGGTTGCACTGTTGTAAAATAATCGACATGCCATACCTTTTTAAATAATTCAGTCAATTTTCTAACCAAAATGTCCACCTCACCGCTAGAAAGAGTTGAGGATAGGTAATCTAAATCAGATTTATTATATAGTCTTAGTTTCTTGAATTCCTTTTAAAACGTCGCTTCGGTGGGAGGATAAATACCTACTGACCGTGACACATGATAATTTGGTCAAAATTTTAGAGGAATGAATAGAATATTGCTAGTAGACGTGTCATCAATTCTCATTGGAATTTGGTTTTTTGATGTTGGCGATTCAGTTCAACGGAAATAGGTCCTAACTGTTGTAGGGTGTAGCTATTACTTTGGACGCGGAGATACTTTCCAACTACCGGGTTTTCCACTCGTCATGTAAGTTTTTGTGAAGTTTTTCACATAGGAGAGTTGCCCAAACTTTGCATTCAAATCCTGATGGAATAAACTGACGAGCATCAAAAATTTGTAATGGGTATTTTACAAAGTAAGTGATTTCTTTCAAGACATGCAGCTAAAGATATTTATATTTTACAATTGCTTGAAAACCAGCGTTGAATCTGGGTACGTCTAATATAATGAGCTCTCAGTAGAAAAGGTAAAACTGATTTCTAATTGTGCCTGGGTCTCAGTCTTCTAAAGACTACATAGTTCTCACCCGTTACTTTTTATGTTGATTGAACCTAAATTAGTCGTAGATAGGAGAATGTTACCTAGGGATCCAGTCGGTGAATATTGTTTCGGTCCTGGCACTTGGTGACATGTGAAAACTAGTAAGATCCAATCTCAGTCCCACAGAATTCACGGGTGTAGGCGCCTAACACATAGTTGTGAGCTTGATAGTTGGGAAAAACTGTAATAATTCATTTGAGCACATCGATAGATAAACCATACCTACCTCCTTCATTGATTCCATTATGGTAAAAACGTTAGAAATGGTATGTTCAAATAGCACACGTAATTTTAGAATGGCTGTATCAAATATAGCATTAAGTTATAACTTTAAAACTGAAACTATTTAAGTTTTTTATAAGACTAGTATTTTGGTGGATTGCAGTCACTTCTATAAAGAACTAAGTGTAAATATATAATCACAGGTACGGTAGTCCTAATAGCACCTAGGAACTATATATACATCAAAAACTATCCCAATATTTTTTACAAGGTTTAAGCCTAGAATACCTCTGGGTTGTAGCATCTATATCTCCAACTGAATAGTGAGACTGAATTGTCAATAAGGTTTTAATTACTGTCTGGTCGTCAAGCATTTTTCCATTCACTCGTAAGAGCTACATATCCATTTATAAATCATAGTCCTAGTTAAAAGTTAAGATTTTTCTACCGTTCGCTCACGGCAATGGAGTATTTCTGCCGGAATCTGTATTTGAATAGCCAAAAATAACAATATAGCCTTTTTAAGGATATCGAATATAACAGTTTTTCCTCTCCGATCATTGCTATTTTTCTTCTAGATATTCATTATTTTATTATACTCTTTAGTTCATTTTTTGATACCCAGAGTGGATTAAGTTTGTACTTTAAGTAATATTTAAGTTCATGAAGTACTGAGACCTAATAAAAAAATACTTACCTTGAAGTAGATATTCTATGGTATTACATTTGGTAGTATACACTTCAATGTAACACTATTACTATCATGTGTAATAATGTAGTGAGTGTCTCAGCTTTCTGCAAGCAGTTTGGTTAGTTTTCTCAGTGAAAAGACGGTAATATTTCGTGAGCATTCTACTTTTATGATTAATTAAATCCTCTGAAACCAATTTTCTATATCTCCAACTGAAATATTGAATGTTATTTAGCTTTTTTTGGATATATCGTTTGACACTTCATAATTGATAACAGTTTTAGTTTTCTTTCAGATAATTTAATAACGTTACTGTAGTTTCTGTTATGCGAAATGAACAAATGAATTTTAGGCATATTCCCCTATGTGTCTGGGTCTAAATCTGATTAAACAAGGTGAATACACTACGCTCTCTCTCTCCCTGGCACTTTTGATTAGTCATTTATATGCTTGTGAATATCATTTTTAAACGAAAGACAGACAATCAATATGTATACGCAGTCTCATACAGTGTGTTAGTAATGTCAATTATCATGTTATTTTAGTCTGAACTATGCTTACTAAGTATGCATATTCATTTTGAAGTGTATTTATGTGTTAAATAAAGCATTGGCAGAGTGGGGTTAGTAAACATAAGCTTGCAACTAATGTCCATTTTTTTCTCTCCCTTTTGATCCTTAATACTACCATAGATTCCATCCAATTGGCTATTATTATTATCACCATTAATGTTCTTGTTATGATTATAACAATGATGGTTATGTTCAACAGTACCATAGTTTTTTTCTCATATCAATAACTTATTTTGGTTGTCCAGATTTTTTTCCCTTTTGGGATTTAAGGGAGTGCTTACATTCATGAATTTCCATTTGTGGTTACTTTTGTGTTGAATACACATGTGTTTGCATATTAGGTGTCTATATGTCCTCGTATGTTTGTAAAATTGTGCACTTCTATCACATATTTCGAATGGGAAATATTACTAGTCGTGTTAACACTGGCAGTTTACTTTTTTATCGTGTATGTACACAACTTTGTATTATGTATGTTGTGTGAATATGACCTATGGTCTGCCTCCATGTGTAGATAAATGCACAAATTCTTATTCTTTGACACAAATGTATTGTGTCAATCCCATTAATAATGATATGTTTGAATCTCTTCTTACTTGCATGGTCACACAGTTAACTGTATATACCTATGTAATTGATTCAACGGTTCGATTCCTGCTTAATGATTACGATAACAGTAATACCAGCGAAATAACCACTGGTTTTAGTAATCTCAGTGATGTATCGGAATTATATTCATCGATGCTTCGTAAATGCCTGATGTCCTACCTAAAAGTTTACAAATTTTTCCTGGTTGATAGGATAGTTCAATTTTCTTAAATCTGTCATGTACATCATTTTAAGGACTCATCATATCACGTTTGCTCCTTATTATCTCCTTCAACATTATATTTTATGGAAATTATCTATGATACTGGTGGTTCTACTACCTAAGAATGTTGTACGTTATTTTATGTCATACAAAATGCCATAACCACTCTTTTCCTTTGTTTACATTTGCAACTATCATTACCAATACGATGTTCTTACTTGAGAACCCTTAAATCTACAAATATGACATCATTCAATTGTTTCAAAATTCATGATACAAACAATTTTATCGCACATGCTACGAAAACAAATAATTCGGAAGGGAGCATATGCACTTCTGAAAATGCCAATATTACTAATAGTAAATGTAATCAATCAGTAGCTTCTGGAAATAATACAGTCATTTCAACAACAACTAACAGTTTACTAGATTCTAGAGATGTGAACCCCAAAATCACAATAAGTTATTCATCTTATTCACGTGGAAGTAATAATCTGCTACGGTGTAGACCACATTTTCGTCACTCCAGTTTATCATCTTCTGCATTTGGAACATGTATGCCAAGTAATAAACGTGATGGTCATTGCAATAGTAACAACAATAAGGAAAAAATCTCTACAACTCCATCTACGGGTGTACAGTTCAGCCGTAACTGCTTTAGATATTATCCTAATCGAATACGTAAACAATTGGAGTCTGCTGTGACAAAAAATGATCCATTGTTGTGTTTAGTAACATCTACTGATTGTACTGTACAATCAGGTCCTGAAATCATCTATACTACCAGTAGTTCCATGAACAATGGCAGCGGTCTAGTTCGTAGTCAATCAGATTCTACATGTTTATCATTAAAAGCAATAATAGGTAATGAAAATTATATTGATGCTGAAGTAGATCAAGAAATTGGAGCACAGACTAATATTGTTGGTTGTAGTAACAAACATGTAAATTATATATCAGATGACTCGGCACAAAGTTCTAATATCTCATCTTGGGAAATGAACAACAGTGCTTCATTAGATGGGAGTAATTCCATTGATAAGTATAACTTAGAAATTAGTAATAAGTGTACATCATTGCTACCTTCGTTATTATTATCTTTATCGTCATCATTGTCAACGCAGATGAATTTCCGTAAGGTAAATATAACTGAAACTCAAGAGAAGTTGGGAATAAAAACAGAAGAAGGAAGAGATGACAGAAGTCAAGACGATGATATGTTAGCTAGTTTTATGCGAAATTCAACTATCGGGTCTATACCAAACAGTGGATTTACATCGGAATTATCGAATTACTGTGGTGCCTCGAATAAGTCATCAACATCAGCTGTTTCTCATCAACATCAAGGAACCAAACTAAAGTGTCGGAATACGCCTAATAACCTATCAACTCCAACAACTCCAAGTCGAAGTTATCAGTTAATATGTCGTAATGGAATACAAAGTTACTCTTTAGTAACAGAAAAACCTACGGGACACTCTACTTCCCCTGAAAATCTTGATTTCGTTGATCAAAATTCGGAAACTTCCATTTGTTTTCATAATACTCAATCATCTATCTGTTGTTCATCCAGCAACTGTAATCCAGATCATAACACATTGTGTAGCAATGGACAATTAACTTTTCCAGGTCACTTATTTAACCAACGTAAGCATATGCAACATATCTTTATTTTCAAATGAGTACTGCATATATCTCTTTTGCCCGCTCCGAGAGTACTTGCTATTTAATAGGATTTTCCTGCTTTCAATATGAGCTGACTTATTGTTATTATCTCTGCCTTAGTGACATGAATATGAGTACAGTGCAAGGTGTTTCCTTGTAGGGCTGCTGGCGTGTTTTACTGGTAAGCACGACACATAGGCTTAATGCTAACTTTAATTTCCAGTTAGCCAGCTCTTAATAAACTGCATTATAACATGGAATCAAAGCTTGAAAACCATATTGGACTTTTTTGCAAACTTCGACGGCTAAATTAGATGACATCGTATTGGTTACCATTAAAGATGTTATCCATGTTATTTCAATTTTCTTAATGTAACATTTGTATAAATATATTTTTTAAACTATTAAGTTATCACTTCCTCATGGGTTTAAGTCAGTCTAAAATTATTTGTGTATAGAGAATATTCGCCAACCGTTCGTTATCGTTACATGTTTAATGCTCTAGTTCATCGGCCTGATTTTCTGAACTGATTATATTTCTATATTCTTGTAAAAGGATTAAACGATTATCCATTACTCTCTAATCCTCAACACCCTGTTATGAAAAAAACTGACTTAATTTTACTGATAAATCACTTTTCTCTCAAAAGAACTAATATCACCAAACTGTAGTAACAGAAATAATCTCGACGTATTTTTTTTTTGTCAAAATACCCTATTCTCCTCTTTTCTTCCCATCTTGCAATATCAATTTGATTTTTTTCTGAACCATTACTGTGTTATTTTTTTTCGTCTTCTCTTCTTATACTTGTTTGACGGTTTTACGTTTTTGACAATTATATGATACTGAGTGGTTCACCAAAATTTCAATGGTGTGTTTTGAGGCATATCGAAATCTCTTCAAGATGTAAAAATAGTTATTATCACCCTCTAAAGAAAGATTTATAGCTAATAATCCGTTTTGTTGTATGTTAAGGTTTTTTTCAAAGGTATACTGTCTAGATCTGTTGTATTATCAAGCTCAAAATATTTCGGCCTTGAGATCGGCATATTACTATTAAGCCATATTTAATTTAATACAATGAATTGGTTATTGCTTAATGATGCTTACTTCGTTGGTTACTTAGTCGATATGATTTTCAATCTAATGTTAGTATATTTCTGAAGAGAAATTCGTGGTGTGTTTCATTCTCCTCAAAACTCAGCAGCAGACTGCTTACATTTTAATCTTTGGTGCTTCTCTTGGAACTCGAATCCCATCATACAGTTCATAAAGTCTTCCTTTATTTTGAATTATGAAAGTTTTTTGCATATTAGATATTATTACTAGAAATTGCTTCCGTTATAATCGTACTTTAATAAACTGGTAGGTGATTGCTGCCAATGTATGCATATTCCTTTACGATACACTATAATTTTCTAATAGTGTTTATTTCCAAAAAAACCCAGTTAAATAATGAATTTATAGATCAATGAAAACGACCACTCAGTTGTTATAATTTATTTACTGTGACTAATTTCACTGTAAATTAGATATCTATTTATTAGACGATTACATTTCGGTTGACCTCTTACTTAGTTTTTCTCAATGTACAAAAAAGGAAAATGATTGGTAATTCATCATTTTTGTTTGTTTGTTTGTTAGATTAAAATCAATTACTGTAACACTTGCTTAATAACATTTCACTACTTAGATATTTTACTTAATAAATTATGCTGTAAATTTATGATTGAATGCTATCTATCATAATTTAGCTTAAAAGTAAAAATCAGTATGCTATATCAATAAATTTTTAGTATTCGAGTAACCTATAGAAATTTATTATTTGCATTATCTTTAGATTAAATGGTTAATTTTTTGCTTAGACTTTGCAAAATCTTAGATAACTCAGCGAATTCCTTAGTTCACCTACTTTATTTTGTTAGGATAGACTAAGTGAATAGGAAGTGGAAGGATTTAATAGAATTCTGATGATAGCTATGGATATTTTTGATAATTCCACAACCTATTCAATAAAGATTACTTTTGTTATGTCCTTATGCCCTGCGAATAAATCACGTGACTTATCGCCAATTAGAACACCGACTTACTAACCAGACCAATGACATTACTACGAGTAGTCCTGTGTCAACTCTGAGTTCGCATTGGTCCACCGAGATAGTAGCTTCTCGCTTAACCCAGCCGGTTCAGTCCAGAAGACCAGTATCAGCCTCCGCTATATGAATCGTGTATTTCAGACATACTTGGTTTATATACAAACAAACCATACCACATCATAACATAAAATAGAAAATAACAATTACGCAAGATCAGGTCGGAAAGTGGCTGTGATTGGAAGATACTGTAACCAATAAATTGGGAATAACTTAAGAATAGTAAATCGTATAATAGTAGACAATAGGTCAAACAGACGCTTGTAATCAGAAGAATATGAATATACATATAATATAGTTACTTAATAGCTATACAATAAGAATATATGTAATAACAGTCTATGAATAGATCCTAGCGGTTAATATTCACTTATTCTTCATCTGGATATAACTTTAGTCCTCATATCATATGTAAATACCAGTAGGGCTCATATGTACGCCTACCATATTGTTTTTATTGTCTTCCCTACCTAATAGAAAGACAGGCTTATATCTAGCCGAAATGCATAGTTTTGCTTAAGTAGATTTTGAACCTGTAACAAGATCGATATTATAAAATTGATCGCATTTTTAGTTAGGATACATCTATTTGTTTTTAATAAATTCAATTTGTTAATAGAATGTCTTTAAAATCATTCAATTTTCCTATCCGCATATACATTGATAGGAGTATATTTCCCACAAAAGTTTTGAAAACAGGTCGTCAAAAAATTTCATTCATTTGATACATTGATGATTCGGCTGTATTGAAGCGAACAATCCTATTCAGATATATGTTGCAAATATATCTTAACACAAATTAATAACTAGCTAACAGTTGATTGTCTAGATCCCTAGTACATCTTTGAACATAGTAATAACAGGTAAGTTTACTGGAAGCATGTTTTTCTCTACTCATTTAGAACGATGTTGTAGTGGTCAAAATAATTAAATTTTAACCAAATAGATCATGGTTCTGAATTTCGTTCTACCTATTTTGTACTGATAAACAAGTTACATTATTATTTTATTACTTAATTGTCAGGCATATAATTTCCTACTCAAATGGTATATTTTTTGGATTCTTATGTGATAATTTATTAATATGTAAAAAAACATCCTATCCACGTTAATCAAACTAATCTAAATACATTGATCTTAATTGATAATGAAAATGTTCTGAATTAAGGTTTCACGATTTAATTAACGAACTGTCAGTTGTTGAAATAATAGCATGTGAGGTATTATGTACCATCTTAGTAGCTGACTTAATAATCAGATACAAATATATCTAGTCAGCTTTCAAGCAGTTTGTTTTGTGTAACGAAAAGTAGTTGTCCAGAATGACCTTGGTGGAACAGTTCGAAAACGTGATACAATGATTTAACATCTAGTAATTTAACAATTAAACCATTAATTCAAAACGCTACTCAGCTATATATATTAATTACCTTTAATCGTTTGTTAACAAAGTCCACTTTTTCAAATAATCAGGCTAACTATATACACTCTTTTTCCCTGTTGTTTGTTTATTCGACATGCCACTCAATAATACAGTCACGGTGACAGTAATGTTTCAAACAGTTTACTGTGCATGATCAGTATAAGGATTTTCGTGTGACTTTGATATTTGAGTTTAGTGATGGCGAATTTTCTTGGATATTTGTTATAGGGATCGTATTATTCTTATTACATATAGTGAGTAAAAATATAGTACACCGTCTCTCTTTACTTACCCAATCGATATTTGTATGTTTTACTTGCTACTATCGGATTAACGGTTAGCGTATGGACTACATATTATTAACTCCTTTAAAAATTGCTTATCTCATCGGTGTTGGGTCCTAGTGCTGTATTTTTAGGTTACATCTGTGACGTGATGTCCTGATTGGTCTTTTATTTTTATCCGCATACTTGGTGACACCGTTTTTACTTGTTATGCATCATACCTGTAATAATTAGCTTGGGGTGCGTAACATAATTACCAACTATCTCAGTAGATGAAGACGTGTGACCTCATCAAACTATATACATTGTTACCTAGCACTTCATGAGTAACATCCACATTATTTGCTCAGTGGTTCCATCATGTATTAAGAATATTTCAAATGTTCTCGTGGGTAAATATTTGCATGATATGAATATATTCTATTTTCAATAATACGAAACTTACGGCTCCTCAGTATACTTAGATGATATGATGTAAAATGACAAGAGTCAAATGTCTATTCTATAACTACACAACTAAATTTAAATTCATTAGTTCACTCAGATGTGATTATATTGTAAGACAAATTTGAACTTCCACTTAATGCATTTAACATGTCTTTACATTTGTGTAGTTTTTAGTCCTCATTGTTTTTCTTTTAAGTTATTATGTCAGTGTTATTTTGAAATGTAATAGTCTAAACCAATGTTTTATTACATCACAGGTTCTGTTACTGACTGACTGACTGACTGACTCACAGGTTCTGTTGTTTCAACTTTTTCAGTTCTAATGTTGCCAAAAAATACTTCGTATTATGATTTAAATTTTCTATTTGCAACTTACATGCTTTATTTTTTCTTAATGTTTAGATCAATTTGGTGCTATAACACCTGATTATTTGACCAAATCTTATAAAATTACAAATCATTCAGATTTAGAAATATCTCAGTCTTCTGTTGACGCACACATTCAACCAATTCTTCACTATTATGCTGGGCCTCAAAATACTACTCCTGCTAATTTATATTCCATAATTTCTACATCTAAAGAGTGTTCTTCGCACCCTATTCCATTGGTTGAAATTTCCACGTCAAATGTTATCAATGCTTCTCACTCTAGTCAATGTCGTCCTATCTATTCTGATTCACTTGATATTCTTAACAACAGTAATACTTATCCTAAAACACTTGAATTGCATCCGGAACCTATTAATCTATTTTCTCAAGTTAGTCAATTATCAACAGGTTCAACAACAACCACTACCACAACAACTTCGAATAACACAACAGAAAAACCAACTGCACCATTGCCATCTCGTAAGCAAAGACCATTATCCCCTTCTTTATCAACTACTTCCATCACTGGAGTTATAAATACGAATACTATTACCACTATGCAGCAAAACCATACAAATATAAGTTCAGTTGATCATCATCATCACCGACAACAACAGGCGTATACTCCTAAATTACTACATAACAGTACTATAGCAGCTGTTAATACTAATATCCAGTCACGTACTCCATCTAAATCACAGGGTACATTACACTATCAACAAATTAACCCGTATCAAAATGCACCTAAATTAGTCAGTGGATGGCCATTATCTTCAAGTGCTGGGAATCGTCCTCTACTGACTAATAATAACACCAAACTTGATTCTCATCAAACAATTGCTAATTCAGATCAGTTTATTACTGGAACTAGCGGCGATAGAATTATAAACTATTATAATAACAATAGTAACTACATTCATAACGCTGGTATTTCTAGTAACACTATTACTAACAATAATACGAACAATAACATTGGCTTTATGAATAATGTAAGTTTGTTTAATTTCCTGTATATCTTTTCTCATTTGTTTTTATGTGTGGTATTCTACGGACTTAATTTCTGATTTAAGTCCACAAGTTGCGATGTAGCTAAATAATATCGTCGATTGTTATGTTGAATGTTGCTTACAGATTACCATACAAACTCTTACATACGATGTCTGAGTGGAGCTCATATTTCGGCGAAAATTTAAAAATTACGAAGCTAAATAAATGTTTCTTCTGTTTCAGAAGTTATTGTTGTCTTTATTACTAGAATACACAGTAGTTACGAAATTTCGCTGTCAATTATTGATTGTCATGGGACATTTGTTTACTATTCTTGTTTTAATGAGAAATCATTACACAGTCTTATTATTAGTGTACAAAAAGCTTGTTACTGCTGTTTTTTTATTCGGAAGCGTATGTTTTTTAAATACAAAAATACATTTTCTACATAACAGGTGACTAACAGACGATAATAATCAAACATTAGTATAAATCAATACTGTTCAAATCATCTATCGTTCATAAAACAGATATTTCAGATTAAGGAGTACCTTATGGTAGTGATGGACATATCAAATGAATTAAGTACAATACAAAGAACGATTTAAAAATAGATTAACAACAGAGAATTTGTATTCCTTTCAACTTAGTCGTGTGCATTCACAGTCAAATCTGAATGTTCTAAAACAGAAAGCTCAATACATCTCTGAGTAGTATCTTTAAAATCCTCCTCATTATTATTACTATTCAGAAGCATTAAAGTTTTTCTAGGTTGTTTAGCTATACTATCATTTAGTATTATTGCTGTATCTGTATTATTAGTAGAGTTATTGTTCCTTAATCTTCTAAGAGTTCATTATCTTTGAAAATATTTAGAAAACTGTTATATTTAAATAATCAATTTTGAAGAAAAGTCTCAAATTTAATAACCTATCTTTCTACTCTAATCGTGATTTAAGTGTTTAGGACTAGTTATTTCAAGTCATCCGCATTATATATTTATGATTTTTAAGGATGATTTTACACTCACTGACTTATCTACCATCAATTTCTTCATACTTCTATTTCAAAGAAATGGTGAGATTTTGAAAACATCAAACATTTATTATTTAAGTCAAATAAACATATTTATGTATGCTTCAAATAAAATGTGTTTGATTTCACATTAATGTTGTAGTATTAATATCAATTTTAGAGTAGGCTGATTGCAAACTTTGTTTGAAATCGTTTCTTTGATATAAACTACATTAAACTAATAATAATAGTGACGTTTTATGATGTGTTTCTTGAAGATTTCTTATCATCTTTCAGATGAAACATTTCTACAGGTGATCAACAAATAAAATATTTTCATGATATTACAATTCATTTGTTTAGGGTATTTAATATTGCACAATTGTTTAGGTATAATGTATTAATTAGATATCACAAGGATGACACTAATAATAACATTTTCACCAATAAATACGTTTAAAAATTTGTAAAAGTTCTCAAATGAAAATCTATGTTATATTTCAATTAAAATGATCATACTGTTTAATAACATAGGAAAAAAATATGCAAAAGATGAAAAAATCCTTAGTGGAATAAAGAAAAGCATGAACAAAAACATGTGACTAGGAGATATAGAAATATTAAAATGTTAACAGTTTAAAACAACGCTAAGAATGAGTACACTTCAGTCATTTGGTCATATGCAACGTAGAAGCTAGTACATATGTGCATTGATTTAAGTTGCCAAACCACATTAGCATAGTCGGATACTCGAGTGAGATAATTTATAACAGTATTAATGGTAGTAGTAGCGTTACGACATAGAAGATATAATTAGACAAGAAAATACGAGATCATGGAAAGTTTTTATAGAGTGGACGCACCTACGCTATCACCAGCGATTCTAACCCTTGTTACTTAGTGGTTCTAACCATTGGTTGCTAAGATCTCGTGGACGCCAACCAGGTAATCTGCATCTAACTAAGTCCTTCAGCGCAGTTATCAGTGCCTTCATGGGCTGATGTCCCATTTTGGTTTGGTCGCCCCCAGCTTCCTTCCCGACTAGTACATCAGGTAATATTGAGAGTAGATGTAGTCAGTGGTTAATTATACTTAACATGTGTCCTAACCACTCGAGTCGATAACGATTCACCATCTCATGGATTGATTTGCCTTATTACCTGGTGCTCTGTGTCTAACCTCAACATGACTTACTCTGTCATCCTAATATACATCAGGAATGCTTTGAAGGCATCAATGGTCGAATACTTGTAACCTACGAATATCCGATTTTTTGCGGCTGTTTGTACCCATAAAGTAAGGTAGAGTGAATTGCTGCTCAATAAGCCCGTCTTTTGGTTGGCAAGTCGTCTTGCCTACGCCATCAGTAATGGAAGTTGGCAAATCCAGGTGAGCTTTCTCAATACGTGCACAAAATTCGTCAGGTGTTTGGTCGTGCTATCAATTTCGAATAATATTACATTAGTCTTACATGCGTTGGTTTTTAACCTCTTGAAGACTTTAAAAAGAAAGTTCAAACTGTAAACAATCAGGTTACTTCTAAATTGATTTGTTTTTGTCTGTTTACACTAAAAATCCTCTTTCTATTATATCATATGCATATAACATCGTACATTTCATTTTCGTAGTTTGAATTATGTAAACCATGTCACAACTGATTTAATCAATCCGCGACTTATTTTGGTCCACTTTGTATGTTAGATTTCAGTATTTTTCGAATTCTCAATCGAATCAACACTAACGAACTACATATATTTAAGACCTTGTAACCGAATCACATTATTAACCTTTAATAAATATATCTTACATAGTTATCAACGTCAGCTGATAGCTATGTAGTATTCTCTAGCTTCTAAAGGTGTGAACGTCTTAAATTTGTCTTTCTAAGCGTTCTTGTGTAAATACAAAACTGCGATTAGATTATCTAAAAACATTGAGTCAATTTCTGTCACGTCAATTATCCAGTTGTTATTTTCTATCATATATATTTGAGGATGGTTTAAAGAGATTAGTTCGGCTCGCAAATAGTTTTCCTGTTAGTTGGTCATCACAGATGATAATTTGTTCTCTATCCTGATTTAGTTTTATGTACTTTTTGTACCTACTTTTCGTCAATTATCAAAGTTTGTACGTACACCAGTGTATGTATGTCCCTGCTTGTGTTACTACTGTCTTTTTTGACAGTTATTTGAATGTTAAAAACGATTATTATTACTATTATTAACATTGTTGCTGTTATTATTATTATTATTATTTTTAATATGTGGATATTGACGTGTACAGAGTGAATAGATAGAAATTTTGAATAATAAGTTAAATAGACTGGAAAGTTAACCTATAATCGAATCTTAATGTTATCTTATCGGAGCAAATAGCTCACTGACTTTTACCCGGCTGTACGACTGGATTATAAGCTCAGCATATCCATATATACACTCGTATGTAAATTCCCACTTAGCATTCATTCTTACTTAGTAGAGGAATTTTCCAATTCACAGAATAATGTATCTTAAACTATGTCGGTTCAGTATTATCAACGGGTTTGAAGATAACAATAACTTGGATGACATCCAACGGCTGATTATGTTGTGGGTTAACGTTAACTTATAATATAAACAACTCCAAAAGTGTAGAATGACTAGATTTGTTGGCATTCATTTGGTTAATATAATGTATAGTCTTTAACTTAGTAATACATACTACAGAAATTTTATAGATGCTATACACTTCCACTGATATCTGAGCAAAATGTAATGAAATTTTTGTCCGCCTAGTTATTAATCAAATATTAACATATATTTTCATATGGTAGAGGGAATTGATGTAATCCATGTTATAGTTATACGTGATAGTAACTGAGTTGCCATTTTTATATTTGGTGCAGTATACATCTTTTCTATTATGCATGCAACATCCAGTTTTGGAACTCTTTTTACAAGTTTTGTATGACTGTAAAAAAAGAGCATACTTGTTGATTTTACTTACTGTTCAGCCTTTGTAAATAAGAATTTACTTACTAATGTTCTTCTTACATTAAAAACGCAATTTTTCATGTATTTCATATCATACCTGTACAGAAATTCTGTATCTCATCATGACACTCATTCTATATATTTTAATTTCGTGATTTCATGTGAATTCATGCGTATCTCTTACATCTGATGCAAAGTACCAGTTTTGGTATTTACTCGATATGGTTGAAATTTTCCCACTCCATGTTTTATTACATGCCACCACGTGATTGTAATGATTATATTAGCAATTTGTACTATCATTCCACCAGTCAGCATAAAGGAAGCAACCTTTTTTCACTATAATTTAAATTCAGTGACAAGTTTGTTATTACAGTCATAGGAATATATGCCTTATCTCTTCATATTCCTGTATCTCTGTAAGAAAATGAGTATTGAAGGGAAACAATCGTATTTGTTGCATATTTGTTTGTTATCAAAGCAGATTTTTCTCTGTTTGCTGTAATAATCCATTTCATCTCAACATTATTGTTAGTACCTTGTCAATGTTATAGTAGAAGTTAATTGAACGTATTATAGATATCTGTAGTTTTTTCTCAGCTGATATGAAAATTTCAGCGTTGTTTTGAAATTTAGGGTTATACAATGAAACAGTGATAGTTTAAACTGGTTTATGATCTCGAAAGTAGAACGTTAGAGCATAATCGTTTCAATAGTCAAATGTTAATTACTGAGTCACAGACTTAAACCGTGTTCACAAACTACTTCATTTTGGCTATGAGTGTCGTCCAACATTAATCTTAATATAAAAGAAAGTGTAGTTGAGAATTGCGTGAATATACGAATGTTTATTTGACTACTAAGTTAATCAATAACTTTGACATAATTTTTAATTGTTGTATTGAAGATGATCAACTGAGCATATGTTTGTATTTATATATGTGTATTTCTTTCCAACTTGTTTTTCTCCAACTATAAGTTAGTTTAGCATTTTATGGTATGGAAATTTTAATATT